AACAATGGCGTTTAATGCCAAGTTAAAGGATGCTAACCCCATCGTTAATATGTATGCGTCATTCATTGCAGCTAGCATTATCACATGCTTCATCTAAATATTTACCAAGGAATTTGGAATATCTTATTGATGAAACACTTTACTGGTTTTCCAAATCATTTGTCAGACAACAGCAATACAATACATTATATACAGCCTTGAATGATGGTTCCACACCCCCGAAAATTCTGTCAGATTGCAAAACTAGATGGTTATCAATTGAACCAGCTGTTGAAAGAACTATGAAGCAATGGCTGAAGTTGAAGACATACTTTGAAATAACAAGACAAAGTGAAAAGTGCTACACAGCTGAAAAACTATATAGAATGTACAGTGATGAAAAAAAATTGTCATTCATTCTCTTTTTAAAACCTATTCTAATGGAAGTGCAAAAAGTTGATAAACTGTTCGAATCTAAACTTGTTGATAAAATTAAATTACTTGATGATCTCACATTGCTATTTCACTCGGTAAAAGACTGGTGTTGCCAACTTCTAAAGCTGATTTGATCACTTGCACTATAGAGAGCTATTTGGCTCCTAAGCCACACCTTGGAAATTAAATCGAATCAAAAATTGATGATTTAAAAACAAAAGGACTGTTAACAGAGAATGAAGAGAACAACTTAAGAAAACGCTGTCAAGATTTCCTTATCTCATTATTGAAGCAACTGAAGCAGAGACCCTGAAAATCTAGATGTTTTGAAAAATATTTCAATTTTTTCTGTGAGAAACATACTTCAGCCAATAAAGGACATACCTAAATATTGTAAAGTTATGAAATTTTTAGGGGCTACAGATAATAGTGTCGCGGAAGCAGAATATCAGTTAAACAAAATAAAGTTAGCTGAACGGACAAACAAAACAGAAACTAAAGCGTTTTGGAGTGAAGTGAGACAATTTAAAGATGCCTCATCAAACAGTACATTCTGTGAGCTCTTTAAAGTGCCAATTCTGTCATGATACTACCCCACTCAAATGCTGACATAGAAAGAGTTTTCAGTGCTAGGAATTATATCAAATCTAACCTGAAAAACAGGATGAAATTTGACCTCTTAAATGCTATCGTGCCATTAAAATTCGGCCTGATGAGACTAGAGAAATAAGCCTACTGTTTCACTTATAAAGAAATTTGAACAGCTAAAGCATACCAGGGTCATTTTGGCTCTGAAGCTTCAACTTCATTATCCAAGCTAAGTTTATCCTGTGTATCCTGTGAGGCAGACATCAGTGAAGGTGAGGACATGATTATGTAGGGTAAGTCATAACAAAAGCTATGTAATTTTTGACTTTTTCAATTTGGATTTTTTTCTAGATCTTTTCCACGCAGATTTAGATCTTTTTAGATATTTTTTGACACCGTTTTGGATATTTTTTGTCAAAGAAAAGTGGCAACACTGCTTGAGAGGCAGCCTCCCAATTGGTGCTTTCATCCCAAATGTTTTGAGTGAAGACTTCAAGATGTCCTTAAAGCGTTTCTTTTGTCCGCCTTGGGAACGTTTCCCATTTTGCAGCTCACCATAGAAGAGTTTTTTTTGGAGCCTGTGATCTGGCATGCGTGCCACATGACTAGCCCGACGAATTTGATACTTTATCAGTAGAGTGTGGATGCTGGGCATGGCTGCTTTCTCAAGGACTACGGTTTCAGGTACTTTGTCCTTCCATCTGATCTGCAATAGTTTTCTAAGACAGACTATGAAAGTGATTTAACTTTCTGGCCTGGCGCTGGTATAAAGTCCATGTTTCGCATGCGTACAGCAGTGTAGTTAATACAACTGCTCCGTACGCTTTAAGCTTTGTGGTAAATATTTACCTGCTCTCTGACAGCATTCTCCGCCCACATCTCTGAGAAAGACTTTAGAATCGGCAACTGCATCAGAGTGTCCTGTCGTTTGCAGTCGCCTACCACGTGATACATCATCGTCAGAACAGCAACATTCACAGACTCCTTGCTGAGGTCATGGTGCTCCAGGAGACTGCCATATTTGGCCATGATCGTCTTTGTTGCAAACCTTGGGAAAATATTTCAGTTTAAGAATTATTTCTTGGTTGTATGTAGAACATTAAAGGTACAGTTACGGTAGATATTGGTTGTATGTAGAATATTAAAGGTACAGTTACGGTAGATATTGGTTGTATGTAGAACATTAAAGATACAATATCTAAATTGGTTGTATGTAGAACATAAAAGATACAATATCTATATTGGTTGTATGTAGAACATTAAAGATACAATATCTATATTGGTTGTATGTAGAACATTAAAGATACAATATCTATATTGTTTGTATGTAGAACATTAAAGATACAATTAGGGTAGATATTGGTTGTATGTAGAACATTAAAGATACAATTACGATAGACATTGGTTGTATGTAGAACATTAAAGATACAATTACGGTAGATATTGGTTGTATGTAGAATATTAAAGGTATAGTTACGGTAGATATTGGTTGTATGTAGAACATTAAAGATACAATATCTATATTGGTTGTATGTAGAACATTAAAGATACAAAATCTATATTGGTTGTATGTAGAACATTAAAGGTACAGTTACGGTAGATATTGGTTGTATGTAGAACATTAAAGATACAATTACGATAGACATTGGTTGTATGTAGAACATTAAAGATACAATTACGATAGATATTGGTTGTATGTAGAACATTAAAGGTACAATTACGATAGACATTGGTTGTATGTAGAACATTAAAGATACAATTACAGTAGATATTGGTTGTATGTAGAACATTAAAGATACAATTACGGTAGATATTGGTTGTATGTAGAACATTAAAGATACAGTTACGGTAGATATTGGTTGTATGTAGAACATTAAAGGTACAATTACGGTAGATATTGGTTGTATGTAGAACATTAAAGGTACAGTTACGGTAGATATTGGTTGTATGTAGAACATTAAAGATACAATTACGTTAGACATTGGTTGTATGTAGAACATTAAAGATACAATTACGTTAGACATTGGTTGTATGTAGAACATTAAAGATACAATTACGTTAGACATTGGTTGTATGTAGAACATTAAAGATACAATTACGTTAGACATTGGTTGTATGTAGAACATTAAAGATACAATTACGTTAGACATTGGTTGTATGTAGAACATTAAAGATACAATTACGTTAGACATTGGTTGTATGTAGAACATTAAAGATACAATTACGTTAGACATTGGTTGTATGTAGAACATTAAAGATACAATATCTATATTGGTTGTATGTAGAACATTAAAGATACAATTACGTTAGACATTGGTTGTATGTAGAACATTAAAGATACAATTACGTTAGACATTCTAGCACCAAGGGGGGGGAAGAAATCCAGCAAAGATGCAATAAATCAAATCTAGTTTTACGCTAAATGGCGCTATTTTTCACCAACAAGAATGTCAATATGAACACTAAAAGAACACTGTTTAATACAATATTCTGACCAACGCTGTGCTATCAATGTTAAATATGGACACTGTCTTCAGAAGACAGATGAAAAATAATCACGACAGAAATAAAAAGTTTACGTACAATGCTAGGTGTAACGAAAAAGATCGACTTAGGAACGATGATATCAGGAGGGGAGTGGACACAGAATCAATACTAAATTTTATAGGTAGGTAACAAATCAAATGCTTTGGTAATGTAATAAGATTCGGATCAAACAGGGCACTACAGAGAGCAATGTTATTTAGATACAACGGTAACAGAGGCACGTAGAAGATGGACGGCAGAAGTATCAGAGACACTGTAAAGTACTTTATACACAGCGAAAAGAACGGTCCGTTCCAGAGATCTCTTCCTGCCCTGACGGTTCGAGACATTCCAGAAGTAGAGAAAAGAAGAAGAAAGAAAATTCTCGCACTGTTGACAAGGGATAGGGCTCTTCTTATTGGCCAGCTGATAGTAAACTACTGCGAAAAGTTCTGGGGTTTCGGCAGCTTCATTATAGACACTGTTTGTTTATTTGTTTCTTTGAGTACTTGAGCTTTGCAGGCTCATGCATGTTACAGAACTGGATTTGCTTTTATGCAGATCGTTGGTTCCTTGCCTGTTAGGCGAAGTATGAGTATGCTCATGAGTATGCTCAGGAAGATAGAGAAGGGCTGGGTCCGAAGGCAGTGGTCAGTGGCTCTAAAGCATTCACGGCTGACAAGGATTAGTTTCATTTCTATACCATGATATGTGAGGTGTACAAGGAAATGAGCAAGCTGACTGACTCGCCGGCAAAGCTACTGTGAAAGCCGGACAAGCCATGGACCAGGCTGATAAACCGAATGCTCTACGAGATTCAAGCCGTTCGCGGGAATCATCTGAGAACTGTGAATCTGCAAAAACATCATTTTAAACGGGATGTCGCCAAACAAGAACACTACGTGGGTTGCCAAAGAAGAAAAAGAAACCAACACAGAACTGGTGTCGTCAGCCGCTATACGCTGTGGGATTTACTGAGGAGGGGATCCGAGCACTTATGGGCTCAGTGGTTCGACGTGCAATGAGGATAATTTGTCGACTAACTAACTAACTAACTAACTAACTAACTAACTAACTAACTAACTAACTAACTAACTAACTAACTAACTAACTAACTAACTAACTAACTAACTAACTAACTAACTAACTAACTAAATAACTAACTAACTAACTAACTAACTAACTAACTAACTAACTAACTAACTAACTAACTAACTAACTAACTAACTAACTGGTAGGCGAATATAACGAATATAATACAATTAATTTCCCATATTTGTTCCGGACTCCATTTTGGTAAGAGACTAGAGCTACAGTCCCTAAACAAGCATATTGTCAAAGGTGACTAAGAGTTTGCTGAAAGTGATGTAATGGGCTTAGAGATGCATGCATCGCGGCCTGACTGTAAACCACAAAGTCCCAGCAATCCTTTTAAGATCGAAAGTAGAAGAAAATGAAGTCATTACATTTGTCTAAAGCAAAAGGCACCCGCAATGATATATTATCAGACAAAATCTGATTCACGTGGCGGATGACACCAAGGCTTCTCTGTGTGGGTTCCTGGGTCCAATCATAGGGGAAATAAGAACATACCCATTGCTCCCTAACAGGCATGTCGTAGGAGGCCACTAAAAGGGGAGGGGGGGGGAGGGTTCTTTCGAAGTCAGAGTACATCTACGTGAGACTTGAGGAACAAGCAGACAAATATGTAAAACGGATGTGCATGCAAAACTCAAAATCTGGAACAAAACTAAAATCCAGAAGTAGACAAACGACCTAGTTTACCCGTCGGAATTGGCAGCCGGTGAACGCGAAAAAGAAGAAGAAGAAGAAGAAGAAGAAGAAGAAGAAGAAGAAGAAGAAGAAGAAGAAGAAGAAGAAGAAGAAGAAGAAGAAGAAAACGAAAAAGAGAAGAAGAAGAAAGAAGAAGAAGAAGAAGAAAGAAGAAGAAGAAGAAGAAGAAGAAGAAGAAGAAGAAGAAGAAGAAGAAGAAGAAGAAGAAGAAGAAGAAGAAGAAGAAGAAGAAGAAGAAGAAGAAAAAGAAGAAGAAGAAGAAGAAAAAGAAGAAAAAAAGAAAAGGAAGAAGAAGAAGAAGAAGAAAAAGAAGAAGAAGAAGAAGAAAAAGAACAAGAACAAGAACAAGAACAAGAAAAAGAAGAAGAAGAAGAAGACGAAGAAGAAGAAGAAGAAAAAGAAGAATAAGAAGAAGAAGAAGAAGAAGAAGAAGAAGAAGTAGAAGAAGACGATGATGATGATGATGATGATGATGATGATGGTGATAATGACGGTGAAGCCAGAAACTTACTGGTTCACATGGCTGATCATGCTGAAGCCAGAGTGCTCCCCGATGAAACCATGGGACATCCATTGCTCGATCATTAACATGAGTACATGATTCGTCTGCACCAGATCACGAAGGTAAACGTCACTCTGCTCTTCAATCAGCTGACGCCGGATGAGTAGAATAAATGCATTCCTCAAATCTGTCATTTGGCTCAGACATTCTGAGGGCAGAAATAACAATGTTACCAGAATATGTCCATTTCTAAACCAGTAATTCGCGATTAAATATATGGTGGGTAACTGGCACAAGAATCCCAACAGTTAAAACTTTGAAAATATCCATGAGGCACTGTGTTTTCGCTACGTGGAATGTAAGAACCATAATCACTAATGTAGGAAGTCCGCTGGTGCTGTACCTGCGGCCGCTACTGCCCCAGCTGCAGGCAAACCTGCCGCTGCAGAAGCAGAGAAAGAGGAAAAGAAAGAAGAATCTGAAGCATCTGATGATGACATGGGCTTTGGTCTGTTTGACTAACCGCCATTGACAGTGAAAAAAAAAATGTAAAAAGAGAGAAAAAAATGGAGACAAGTTGGAAGAATTTACTTACGAACTTGACATGTATACATAGGATGTACTGGGCTTAGCAGAAATGAGATGGACGGGAATAGGTGAAACCACAACAGACGAGGGACATAATATTTGGTACAGCGGAGAGGAAAGCAGCAGTTACCAGCACGGCCAGGTTTTTATTATTTTTAAAAGCAGAACAGATATCACCGTAAGCTGCAAACCTATAAAAAGCAGACTTAACCAAAGAACATCTCTACTAATATTCAGGTATGTGCTCCAACCACCGACTATGATGAAGAGGAAATCGATACTTTCTATGCTATGCTGGAAGAAGTAGTAAATTCCATCCCCAAGAAAGATCTTCTCATTTTCTCAGCCGGGGGGGGGGGGGGGGGGGGGGTTAGAATGCGAAGACAGGGACAGACGCGAATGGACAATGGGCTGATGTGCACACCCATTTTTTTATAGATATGGCTTGTTTGTGTGCAGACTGTTAGTTTCTTGCCTCTTAGGCAGATGCACTCTGACTTCAAAGGAAAAATCCTTAATTATTAAACTTTAAGGACATGCTTTTGGGGAAAGAAGAGCGGCAGAGGTTTTATCCCCCCCCCCCTCACCCACCCACCCACACTCCTCAGATGGGGAGTCGAAACACACACAGGGAAATGATAAAATGATTTTTTCAGGAATAGAAATGGAGGGTCTGTTTTCAAGAAGAAGGGGCAGGTATCGACCATGGGATATACTAAAAAGTAGCCTAACGGCCTGCCCGGGCAAACACAATTTTGAGTTAAAAATCTACTCAATTTCAGGATCCTTGCCGGTGCTACAGAGCCTGTGCACTTTGCTGGGCTTCTTCGGACTCAGACTTGAGTTAGAAGAAGAACGGAGCACTTATAGGTTACTACCCGTGTGCCATGATGTTGATCCGTTGTTCAAACCCCAAACTTCATGCCCTTAGCTCATTAGGTATAGTTCTAGACCTATTTGTTTTGTTCAGATTAATGGGCACTTGATATGTGATGTGGTACCTATTTGAGCCTGGGTCAATGTGGTACCTGTTTGAGACTGGTTCAATGTGGTACCTGTCTGAGACTGGGTCACTGTGATACCTATTTCAGACTGGGTCAATGTGGTACCTATTAGAGACTGGGTCAATGTGGTACCTATTTGAGCCTGGGTCAACGTGGTACCTATTTGAGACTGGGTCAATGTGGTACCTATTTGAGACTGGGTCAATGTGGTACCTATTTGAGCCTGGGTCAACAAGGCAGCCAAGGTCAATTTTGATTTGAACTCTAGACCTTCAAGAGGCAGTAGAGCGTTTAGCTACTACGCTTCTTCGACTCACACATTTAGTGGTGCCTCCAACGATATCACTGCTTTGATTTTTCTAAAACTATAACATATAGCAAAAACTAATCAATAAAAACGTTTTAACACTTTAAAAGGAGCATTGAACTTGAAAAACACTCATTTCAATACAAAAATGGTACTCGAGCTGCACATTACCGTACCGACATGATTTTTAGGCGTCAACTGTGTTCAGCACTACTGTATTAAGTACTGTGTGGTGAGTATTGCACCTTTTTGTGTGTGACACTTTGTAATGAGTACCAGTCTTTTTCTTATGTGACACTTTGTGATGAGTACCAGTACTTTTCTTATGTGACACTTTTTGATAAGTACCAGTACTTTTCTTATGTGACACTTTTTGATAAGCACCAGTACTTTTCTTATGTGACACTGTTGTGATGAGTACCAGTACTTTTTTATGTGAGACTTTTTGATGAGTACCAGCATTTCTTTTTATAGAAGAACACCCTGCTTAGCTGGGAAATCATACTGAGGGTAGAGTATCTTTCACAGAACTTACTTTCATTATAAAATTACTGCGCGTTATTTAGAATGCAACATGGCTGTGTCACTTACTCTGAAGACTAACCAGATACTCCATATTGCTGTTGGCCAAAAGAGTTCGAAACATCTGGTTCAAAGTGCAAACCACCAAATGAAGCCTAGAAAGAAAAATCAGACCTAAATAAATAGTTTGAAAATTAATATATTTTAAGATATAAAATGAGAAATATCCGGACAACCACTGGTTGATTATTCAAACGCCCCCCTCCCCCCCTCTTTTCCCACAGCGCTTTAAAAGTGAAGTTAGACTAGACACACTGTGAGAAGAAGCGAGCGGAGAACTGGCAAACAGGTACTTAAATGGGAGATAACATGACTGAAGAAACAAAGATGTCCAAGAGGTTTCATAACTGTGCAGTAAAGATAATATCATAATGTCATAAAATAACATACCGTCTCTGTTACGAAGTGATAGAATTCCAGCGAAAGATAATCATCTTGCTTATTTCAGGAACGCATTTACACTCCATTTATAATTCTATAAAATGGATTGTCTCAGGATACTATTATAAATGCGATATAAATTACTGTTGGGGGAACTAGATAGTAGGTGGAACCCACTACAGTAGGAAAGTGGGGCAGCTGGAAAATATAGTCAGTCTTTTCCATAAGAACTCCATGGCGGGAAGCATGCACAGCAGGATTCTACCGTTTATCAGTAGGTGGGTCCCTCGTCCACAATTGTTTCGGCCCATTATCCTTCTAGACAATCTCGGAGGGTGGGCAGGCCTGGTTCATGACTCCAGGCTACGGACCTCACCTGCTGCACTTTAACGGATGTTTGGACAGGACGAAATGGAAAAGATAAGATAAAAAAATCCAAAGGAAAAAAGAATAAATTATGTGATTATGCAAACGATTTACAAAATGTGAGACTACAAAAGAATATTCAGAAACGACAGGAAGCCATCAGTACTGAGATGACTGGAGGCAAAGTCTCACCTGTGCTTCTCCACGGATAGGTCCTGCTTTTGCCGATGCTTCACTTCTAGAGCTTCACAACATTTGACAGCCTCGTAGACCAGAAACCCAAAGAGATCCAGGTTTAAAACCTCCCTGTTGGTTTCATAAAAAATCAATCACACATTATATGAATGCACATCATTATCAACACCCTAGTCATAACATCATCATCATCATCATCATCATCATCATCAGTATCATCATCAGTATCAATATTCCTACCATTAGTAAGAAAAAAGCAAAACATCCCTTTCAAGCAGCTGAATGGCACATCAGGCAGATTGTACAATATAATAGGATTTGTTTTTCTTTCTAGAAACAAAAGTGGGATCGGATGGTTTGTGGAGGAAGAAGAAGAAGAAGAAGAAGAAGAAACAGTAGTTAACCGTACAAAACGATCAATATAAACTTCAATAAAAGTGTAATAATGAACAGAAATGTATTGTAATACTGTAAACCTATATTACTGTGAAATAATTTGTCATCTCCTACTGTCTGTGAGGCTTGAGCTCTCTGTGCGACCATGTTCCATATCTTACGCACAAATAGGATCTGTGTTGCATTTGAATCCTCTTGCATATTTTTTTTTTTTAAGGACTGTTGCTTAGATTTGTCAATTTTTTCCGATTTTCTTTTGAAAATTATTGAGATTGATTACTTTTAAATGAACTATGCACTGAATTGTTTCCAACAAAATCAATAACTGCTACCTACTTGAAACGAGAGAAGTCCAGTTCTTGCTGATGGGCAAAACTGAGGAAAAACCCGACTGTCCACATCAAAAAAGAATGGTCTAGAATGTTGTCGTACTTGGTCAGTAGAGCTTTCTGGAAACAAAAACGGAATACTATCTTAAAGATTAGCACTAAAAGCGTGACACACTGCACGAAACTCCGTTGCTCCACTCGAAAACTCACAATATCTAAAACACACGCACTTGTGAATAAATGATCGTGCCCAAGTATAAGACGTTCAGAATACAAGGAAAATGACTCAACAACTTTACTTGGCTGGGACGGGGAATTGAACCTGTCACCTCCAGACGGCGTTTGCGCCTCGCCATGGATACAAGTGCACTAAGAACATGGTCAACTAGGCACCCCTAGTAGAGCAGACGCCGACTGGAGGTGACAGGTTTAGTTCCTGGCACGATAACTATAGCTTTCGATTTTTATGTTGTCTAGTGTGTTCTTCAATCTTTCTACTTCTTTCTATAAGTGCCGATCAATACACTTTCTGTTACTTAATTAATTCAATACAGCAAGTGAAGCAGAAAATCCGTGCGACAAATGACCGCACGAGATACTTGGGGGTAGAAAGTTAAACGAGGGAAAGTTCCAGGTTGACTTGTGGTCAGTTGTGTACAAGTGTTAGACACGCCCTTCTGTAGCTATAAATATAGTCTAAAGATGGACGTGAGTAAGAAGAGGACAGTCGTGATGTCGTCTTCTTCTTCTTCTTCACTTCCTCTTTTACCGCTGTGGGTGTCGAGGGAGATATAAGGTTCTGTTTCTAGCTCTTCTGGCTGCCTCGACCATAGGCACATCGTGCTGTTGAAGAGTTTATCTGATGTTATCCTTCCATATTGTTCTTGGTCTACCCCGTGCTCTACGTCCTTCTTCTCTTTCCATGTATGCTTTGTATGGTATGATGTCACAAGGCATTCTCTCTAAGTGAGCAAACCATTTCACTTGCTGTCTTTGTCGTCACTTTAGTTTAATTTAAGCGTAGTCGACGTTTAGTAAATGAATATTGTGGCATATTTGTGGACGTTGACTGCGATACTTGCTATTGAGTACATGTGATGGGATATTGGAACCAGGAGCCGCGTTAGCGTAGTCGATAGGAGGCTCGCTTTCAAATCCAGCTGCGACTCGCTGCAGCCAGGGTCGGTGTTCAAAACCGGGTGGTTCCTGGGGTTCACCCACCCTCTAGTAAATAGGCCCCAGAGTTAACACTCTAGGATAAATGAGGAACGTCGCTGTAACTTACAGAATTACGTTCGGATGGCGACACAGACGGACAGTTTCTTATCAGCTGTTCGTTCTGGTGGCAGAGCATTTGTGGTTAATAATCGTGTGCAATGACGCCGGTTCACATCTCCCGACTTTACCTTTACCTTTTTACATGTGATGGAATAGAAAGAATACACTGGAAGAACGTCTATTCGAATCCGACCAGTGTTTCAGTGTTGTCAATTGTAAAAGCTATATTTGTTCTAGAGTAGACGAGCTATATCAAAATTGACCCAGCTGTCTTTCCAGCCAGCTTCCTTACAGCAGGTATAATTAAACGTACTCTAAAATCGTGAAATTAGCACATTTTTTCCTTGATATTCCAGCACACACTATTTTAATAGAAAGGTAATAAACAAACATACAAGGTTTTGATAGGCACTCAAAGAAAGAAGTGGAACTACTTTCTTTAATCTACACCCAACGACCCCGTGAGAGAAATAACCTTAGTGTGGATTCAGTCAAATCAATTTCACTTGTAAAAATTAAATTCAAATGTTTAACAAGCAGACATTTTAATGAATTTGCAGAGAAAAAAAAAAAACACACACACACACACACATACTCAAAATGGTCAGGTTGTGAGAAAAAAAATCAAAAATGGAACACAATTTCAATGGAATTTAATGTTAAGAGAGGTGTCCTTATTCTAGAAAATCAACATATGCCAAATCTATCACTGACCCTTCTTGTCGTCTTTAAATATATATATGTATATATCAATATATATTATATATATATATATATATATATGTGTGTGTGTGTGTATGTGTGTGTTTATATGTACACACACATACAACATACACACGTATACATATAGATATATATATATATAATATATATATATATATATATATATATATATATATATATATAATATATATATATATATATATTTATTTATATACACACATACATATATTTTTCAAGAATCACACTGCTTTGTAAAAATTAGATGGTTGCTAAAGATCCACATTTAATCTAACATGTGCTCTCGTCACCTGCTTGTGGGATGCAATCTTTAGTTATTTTAAAGTCCCTCCCTTGCTTTTACCGGGGGGCCTAAATATAGCCGGGCCTGAAATATGGCCTAACGGCTGAACGGGGTTTCCGGGACCTCTCCACGGGTAATCCTCATCCGCATAGTGGCACTTTGTGTCACATGGGTGTTTATCGCTTGTGTTATGTCCTGGTAGGTACAATTTACATACATTTTACATTTGACCTAATCTAATTCACAAAATAAATGATATATGAATGGCACTGTCTACCGGTATCGTACTGTATATTTCTTTTTCTTATTAGTGTTATATCTTTAAATAAATCTCAAACTGGGCGACTGAAAAATGAAAGAGCTAATGTTTGCATACTCACCATTATGTTCTCAACAAGATCCACAAAACCTGAATACATGATGTCTGTGGCAAATTTCTTCAGGTAGGAGCTGCAACAAATCAGGTTCTGTGTTAGTTACACTGATGATTTTTCACGCACACACTTGAACATCTATGCTATCAGTGCCAAACATGGACACCTACATCCTCTAATGAACGAAACATTGTTATAGCTGAGACGAAATGCCTTAGAAGAGCTGCAAGAGTTTCAAGGAAAGACATAATACGAAATCATACGAATGCTAAGAAAAAAGCCAGTCTTAAAGGTCATCAAAGAACAACAAATGAAGTGGTTTGGACAACTAACAAGAATGTCCTGGTACTATCTACCATAGTGAACTACACTGAAACGTTACAATGGGTATAGAGCGAGAGGAAGACCTAGGAAAAATGGAGTGATGGCATTAGGAACAGCCTTACAGAAATGAACATCAGTCTTAATAGTGCTCTTGACAGCGTTCATCAACGAATGTTACATCTCCCCCTGACACTTCGCTGAGGTAAAAGGTGGAAGAGAACAAGAACTTGATCATGAAAGACTTGCGACTGCATGTGTGAATTTGTAACCCTTTACAAATAAAATTTTTGCTGGCCGAAGCTCTGACAACGCTACGATTTACTGAACTCACCCTTGATGTCTGTCCAACATGAGACATTTCAGATACAATACCCTGTTCAACCCAGCAGGAGCTTACAAATATATGAATGATGGATCTTTGTGTCAAAGGACGTTTGTCGCTCGTCATGCGGTCCTGTGAGGTTGAACGTCAGTCAGTCAGTCAACCAGTCAGTCAGTCAGTCAATTTAACAAACACAGGTAAAATTAACGTTGATCTCCCCACGTCCCGCCGATACACACACTAACTCACTTCTGACTGGAAGGTGAAAGGCAGCACACATGTTACAAGAGAGAATGGGGGGGGGGGAGGGGGGAGGAATAGAGAATGCAGAAAGGGTTAGAAAGATGAAGTAAACGAGTTCAAGCAGATGCACTCAACAACAACAACATTATATATATATATATATATATATATATATATATATATATATATATATATATATATATAGGTGTGTGTGTGTGTATGTGTGTGTGTGTATGTGTGTGTGTGTGTGTGTGTGTGTGTGTGTGTGTGTTGGAACATGCTGTACAGAAGTAATCAATGCTCACACAAGAATGTCCATGTCCATCAGACACGATGATTGATTGATTGACGACAAATTTTCCTTTTTCTGTTGGCGCCATGTGAAGGACTCCTGGTCTTTTGGTATCTGCTCCTTTACAACTTTTGCCGCTACTGAAACTCGAATTACTTCCGCTTTTACTCTTTGATGACCCTTTGGAGTCTAGAAGAAAAGGATGTTTGTGAGCATAGAAGAGTACCCAAAAAAGTTGCATTAAAAACTAAATTAGATGATACTTTATAAATCGAAATTTCATGGTAGTTTGTTCACATAGTTACCAAACAGGCGATCATGGGAGTGATCCAAGTGCTGTCAGGTCGATTCTAAATTCAACAATAAAGTTCTAGTTAACTATCGACTGCTAGATCCGTTTTTTCCCCTCTAGGTCGCTGCCTAAAAGATTTTCCATACGATCCTAATATTTAAAATATCTTACACTGGACCGCAGATCAGCAAGGCAGATTCCAGATACCCCCTTCAACTCCAGAGATATTATTACTAGGGCACCCTATGACGTCTACACTGGCCACGTTTACCCGCAGTCAAATGCGGGAAAGAAAAATGTACTAATGTCTCGCGATTCTTCATTTACTTTTTCTGTGTTTTAGCGTCCTTTGGATATTGTTTCCAGGTTATGCTAATGTTTTGGGAAACGAGCAGGCAGATAGACTGGCCGGTTTTGCATCTCTTGGTGGTGAATTGATGTATGGTAAGCTGGATATTGTGAGGGCACCATGGGAGCGATTAAACGGTGCAGAGGCAAACATAGATCATAACAGTCTGGGGAGAATGACGCTGCGAGGAGTTAAGAGAGGATTTTACCGACGCTGAACACTCAAGGGAAAGGCGAGATGGATATACAATCAGACAGTTACTGGTACTATCGGAATTGGATTTCATCGTTTGCTGCTAAAGATGGGGACAGGGCGCGTATGGAAGAGTCGAAAGTGATATGATGTCGATTCTTAATTCGACATTCAACATAAAACATTCCTGTCCAGTTCTCTTTTCTCTTACCGTTTATCATGAATCGGCAACAAAGATGCATCTTCAAAACTATAGTGTTGTTTGAATAAAGGTGAATTATGTAATATGAAGAGTACATTTAGCGTTAAACTAGAGAAATTGGCAGAATTGTAAAGACGTAGCGAGAAATTCCAGGAGTAGAGAAAAAAAGAAGAAAGAAAGAAGTAAAGAAGTAAAGAAATAAAGAAGTGAAGAAGTAAAGAAGTAAAGAAGTAAAGAAGTGAAGAAGTAAAGAAGTAAAGAATTGAAAAAGTAAAGAAGTAAAGAAGTGAAGAAGTAAAGAAGTAAAGAAGTGAAGAAGCAAAGAAGTAAAGAAGTAAAGAATTGAAGAAGTAAAGAAGTAAAGAAGTGAAGAAGTAAAGAAGTAAAGAAGCAAAGAAGCAAAGAAGTAAAGAAGTAAAGAATTAAAGAAGTAAAGAAGTAAAGAAGTAAAGAAGTGAAGAAGTAAAGAAGTAAAGAAGTGAAGAAGTAAAGAAGTGAAGAAGTGAAGAAGTAAAGAAGTAAAGAAGCAAAGAAGCAAAGAAGTAAAGAAGTAAAGAATTAAAGAAGTGAAGAAGTAAGGAAGTAAAGAAGTAAAGAAGTAAAGAAGTAAAGAATTAAAGAAGTAAAGAATTAAAGAAGTGAAGAAGTAAAGAAGTAAAGAAGTAAAGAATTAAAGAAGTAAAGAAGTGAAGAAGTAAAGAAGTAAAGAAGTGAAGAAGTAAAGAAGTAAAGAAGTAAAGAAGTAAAGAATTAAAGAAGTAAAGAATTAAAGAAGTGAAGAAGTAAAGAAGTAAAGAAGTAAAGAATTAAAGAAGTAAAGAAGTGAAGAAGTAAAGAAGTAAAGAAGTAAAAAAGTGAAGAAGCAAAGAAGCAAAGAAGTAAAGAAGTAAGATCCATAATACGGAGGCGCTAGTCGCTTGCCTGAATGTCTTGATTTCGAAAAGGCATCGAGGCTGATTTTTGTATTTGAGTAGGCCCCAAGGTGAACCCAGGCTAAACTGGGTTCTAAGAAATGCTAAAAAAAGTAAACGCGGCCGCCTGACGTTGATAACATCACATTTGAGTGTTGACTGGTTATAGAAATAGGTCAATCACCATACGTTCCAAGTACTGATGGCATGAAAATATTCGCGTTTTTCGTTATTTACCAGTAGAAAAGAGCTCAAAGTAGAACATCAAAAGGTAGGGAGCGACCAAGAAGAAGATGGATCAAAGGGGTCACTGATACCCTGGGACTCCACAACATTATAGCATAGCGAGCAGCCGAGCGTGCCTTAGCTCGGATACCGATCATGTTTTAACCTGCGACGCCTAGAGTCACAAAGTAGAAAATGGACGAAAGAAAAGACTGCTGCCAAACTTGGACATTATCAAAGGCTAGTCTACGTAAAATTAACACCAGTGGAATGTGATGCCTGAGAAAATCCACCAGCTTAACCGTCGGGGACAAAGGGAGAAATGGTGCTAACTGACAGACTGCGGGAACAAAACTATGCACAAATTAACTGAGAAACATGATTGAATGGTTTGGTCATCTTGTTAGAATGCAACCACAACTACCAATATAGGCGCTTTACCTGAAAAGAGTGGTTATAGAAGCAAGAGGTCGTCCTATGAGAACATAGACGGATGACATTAAAGACTTTGTACATCGACATGGTAATCGAAGTAGCCATTGCTACCCTTTAAGCAAGGAATTGCAAATTGTCGCTTCCCATGACGCTTGACAGTAAAAGTGGCAATTGAAGATGATGATGACAACTTTAAACTGAAGTAATGTACACACATTATGATTTATAAAGCTCTTGCAGACAAACACCACATACCTTTGTAGGCTCTCTCCTCAATATCCATGTCCTCACTAACACCACTGGCATCTGTTCTCTGGGGACAGTTGGTCAGCTTGATCTCCAGCCGCCCATCAAAAGTGGCGTTAAACTCCAGCACACAATCATCATCATCATCCAAAGAGCGTGTGGACTTTCCTGCAGACGAGCGGATCTGAAGCTTGTTCCTGAAATTCAAGCTCAGGTTCCTGTCGGTGTTTCCATGGGTAGCTTGGTCTTTAGTTTCCGCAGAGACTATCTCCACTACGTCTTGATGGTCATCAGAAGATGATGTTGATGTGTCGTCGTCAACATCTGGCTCCAGAAGACTGGAAGACTGGCGAAGAGACGGTAGTGAAGAGATGATAGCGAATAGATAGTAGAGAAGAGATGGTAGCAAATAGATGGTAGAGAAGAGATGTTAGCGAATAGATGGTAGCGAATAGATGGTAGCGAAGAGATGGTAGCAAATAGATGGTAGAGAAGAGATGGTAGCGAATAGATGGTAGCGAAGAGATGTTAGCTAATAGATCTTAGCGAATAGATGGTAGCGAATAGGTGGTAGTGAATAGATGGTAGCGAATAGGTGGTAGCAAATAGATGGTAGAGAAGAGATGGTAGCGAATAGATGGTAGAGAAGAGATGGTAGCGAATAGATGGTAGCGAAGAGATGGTAGTGAAGAGATGGTAGCGAATGGATGGTAGCGAAGAGGTGGTAGCGAAGAGATGGTAGCGAATAGATGGTAGCGAAGAGATGGTAGCGGATAAATGGTAGCAAAGAGATGGTAGAGAAAAAATGGTAGTGAAGAGATGGTAGAGAAGAGATGGTAGCGAAGAGATGGTAGCGAAGAGATGGTAGCGAAGAGATGGTACAATATAATTAAATGTAGAATAAAATTAATATCCTTACACGGACAAATGAATAAAGGTAGGTCAGCAGTACAAGGTGAATGAGAGCTAGAAAATGACATGGAAAGATGGAGAAGTCGAGACATGAGCAGTGCGCAGTGGCAAGAGATAAGACGACTTTCTGTGCGTTGATTGATGGCCTATGCTCTATTTTTTAAGGGAGGTAGGGGGGGGGGGCATTTTGTTTGGGGGAGATAAGCATTATCTGTCATCGATTGGATCAAAGAGAACTTTCTGAGATATTACCAGTCAGTCATGTGAAAAAGGCCTTCTCTCATGTCATCATCATCATCATCAGGTGCCTTGCCGACTGGCGTGGGCGATCATGCCTCTCCATTCTGCGAGCAGCATATCAGCTCGTGTCCGTCCATGCCATGAAAAAGGTCTTTTCTCGTTCTCTCTCAAGTCAGATCAGTTAAATCTGCTTGTATCTAAATACACTGGCATGTTTCTGAGAAGCTTAAATTGCCTGAGCACCCAGGTTCCTGCAACAAAGAGTTGAGATAATGTCTGATCCTGTGACATCACCTCGTCATCCGTCATTCCTTTTTGTGAGATTACAGGGGCATGCAGCCCCCCAAAAAACCAGCCATCATCATCAACATCGTTCTAATCATCCCCATCTTATGTCAAGACAAGAAACAGGAAGCGTTCCTAGACAAACTGTAAGTATTTACCCCCCCCCCGCCTCCGCCTTTCCGACACGTTACCTTCTTCTTCTCCTTCTCCTCTTCTTTTACTTCTTCTTCTTCTTTTTCTTTTTCTTTATCTGCTTCTCCTTCTTCTCCGTATGCTGCTACAACTAAAGCGTTTTCGCACGCCCTGGGCACAAATGTCTAGACCTATATTTTATGAATCAATCGGTACATGGTGGGTGATGTGGTCAGCTTCACACCTGCTGCCTTTACTTTGCAGGACTTTCACTTGTTCCCTTTTTAGACTGTGTCGATCGGGGAGCCAATGTCATTGTAGACAAGAGTCTAGCACTCTCAGCAGATGCTACTACAACTACAACGCTTTTCCTTCTCTTTTTCCTCCTCCTCTTTCACTTTTCAACTCCCTAAATGATACATAGGTTAGTTGCGTATCCTTTACAGGACGTTGCAGAACCAACTCCAGCAGCCCCTGGCTGTTGTGTGGTTTTTCTAGGCAAATTTACGTCCAGTAGTTTGCCATTGCTTCTGGACAGTTTGGCTTTCTAGATACCACTGTCGAAACCAACGCAAGGCCCATGGCCCGAAGCTGGGATCGAACCCGGCATCCCGGCATTACGAAGCGTTCGCATCGACTTAGCCACAAAGCCGACTAAATGATACATAGACACTACATACATTTCTTTGTAGACCTGTTCAATACTTGGAGAGATTCGAAACCCATATTTGACCCCGTGAAATAACCAGTGTAGACGGCTTTGCATTA